ACTCCCCCCGGATCTGATTGGCGACCAGCTGAGAATCTGTCTTGAGGTAGACATGCTCGGCTTCCAACGATATGCACAGGTCTAAGCCAGCAATGGCTGCTTCATATTCGGCCTCGTTGTTAGAGGCTTTGAATGAAAATTTTAGTGCATACTCGAAGGTTTTGCCTTCGGGAGAGGTAATGACGACCCCTGCCCCCGAACCGTTCACGGTGGAGGACCCATCCGTGAAGACGGTCCAGATTTTCCTCCTTGCATCCAGAGTCTCCTGATAGGAGCACTCGGCCAAGAAGTCTGCCAAGGCTTGCGCCTTGATGGCTGTTCTCGGCTGATAACCGATACTGAACTCGGTGAGCTCGAAAGCCCACTTTGCTAGTCTACCGGATTTTTCAACCTTGCCGAGGACTTTCTCTAACGGCTGATCAGTTAGAACCGCTATTTGATGAGAATCAAAATAGGGTCGCAACTTCCGAGCAGCCACCACCACTGCATAAGCCACTTTTTCTAACAATGGGTAGCGCGTCTCGGCATCCGTCAGGGTGTGGCTGACGAAATAGATCGGCTGTTGAACTTTTTCTTCTTCCCTTAGCAGCACCGCGCTTACCGTGGCTGGACTGACCGCCACGTATAAGTATAGGATGTCTCCTACGACTGGCCTTGCCAGTGTTGGGAGTTGAGCCAGGTGTTCACGGAGCTGCTGAAAGGCTGACCTTTGTTCGTCTCCCCATTCAATGCCTTTTGAATTTTGGAGCTTCAGCGCCTTGAAGAAAGGGAGCCCTTTGTCTGAGGCTCGTGAGATGAACCTGGACAAGGCAGCCATTCTCCCGGCTAGACGCTGAATATCCCTTTTTGTCTTCGGCTCGGGGAGGTCTAAAGCAGCTTGTACTTTGGCGGGGTTTGCATCAATCCCCCTCTTGCTGACCATGAAGCCGAGGAACTTGCCTGACTTCACGCCGAAGACACATTTCTTCGGATTCAGCTTCATTTTGTATTTTCTGAGGGTGGCGAAGGTTTCGGCTAGGTCCGTGACATGATCTTTTTCTTTTATGCTTTTGACGATTGAGTCGTCAACGTAAACCTCCATGTTTCGGCCTTTTTGCTCGGCGAAAACCTGATCAACCAACCTCTGATATGTTGCCCCCGCATTTTTCAATCCGAAGGGCATCATTCTGTAATTGTACAACCCGGAACTTTTTATGAACGCTGTTTTAGCTCGGTCCTCGGGGTGCATGAAGATCTGATGGTATCCCGAGAATGCGTCCATGAAACTGAGCAGAGCATGCCCGCTTGTCGAGTCGACCAGTTGGTCGATCCTCGGCAGCGGATAGGAGTCCTTGGGACATGCCCTATTCAGGTCCGTGAAGTCAACGCACATCCTCCAGTTACCATTTGCCTTCTGAACCATTACAACATTGGCCAGCCACTCCGGATACTGACAGGGTTCAATGAACCCAGCATCTAGGAGCTTATCGACCTCAGCTGCGATGTTCCGGTTCTTTTCGGCGGAGTAGTTCCGCTTTTTCTGCTTAATGGGTCGACTGGAGGGGTCGACATTAAGCCTATGGGAGACGAAGTCCGGATCAATCCCGGGCATTTCTGCGGCTGAGAAGGCGAACACGTCTCCACTGGCCCGTAGGAGTTGGACGAGTGCCGCACGGGTGTTTGACTCCAGTGACGACCCGATGCTAACACATCTGTTCGGATCTCCTACGGTCAGTTCTATTGACTCGGTCAGGTCATCCGTCTCCATGCTCTTAGAGTTGGATTCCTCGAATTCCGGCCTGCTATCAATATTAGCAGACTTTCCTGACCGCGGCTGGCCATCAGAGTCGTTCGGCTCTGAGGCGGAGTCAGCCTTTTGGCCCCCATCAGATTTCTCGTTGTCTGGGGCTTCATTAGCCGAAACGTCTGAGCCTCTCGGCTTTTTGGCGTTTCGGTCCCGGTGCTTTTCCTCCCCATCGCCACGGTCGCCTCGGCGAGACGTGGATGGCTTGAGGTGATTGCATCGGCGGGCTTCTTTTTGACTGCCCTTTATTTTCTCGGAGCGTCCCTCGTCTGAAACGTATATCATGATTTGATGATACGTGGAGACGACTCCTTGAATGCCGTGAATGAGGGGTCTCCCCATGATCACGTTGTATGCAGATGGAGCATCTACGACCAAAAATTCGGCCATGATATTCCTAGCTGCTCGGCCTTCGCCGATGGTGACAGGAAGTGTAATCTTCCCGTCAGGATACGATGAAGAGCCGTTGAATCCAGACACCGGGTAGGGTGCGGGGTCCAGGTGCTCGGCTCCCATCCTCAGCTGGTCGAACGCTCCTCGGAAGAGGATGTTCGCCCCGCTACCGCCGTCGACGAGGGTCCGCCAGACGTTGCGGTTGGCGATGCCCAGAATGATTACTAGTGGGTCATCGTGGGGGTATACCACCCCCTCACAGTCTTCGGCTGTGAACAGGATGTTCGGCGCCGGTGACTGGGACTGCCGAAGCTCAGCCTGATGAATCTGATGGGTTAGACCCCTCAGTTGGCGTTTGGCTGTGCCTCGCGAGATTCCCCCGGAAATAACTAGGATGTCGAGGGACTCCTTGCCCTGAGGTCCCTTATCCTTCTTCCGAGCGAAGTTGAGGTCCTGCCGAGAATCTTTTTCAGCTTTTTTCTCCTCGCGCCTGTCCGCGAGGTATTGGCTCAGGTACCCCTTGCGGACCAGATCCTCAATCTGGTCCTTCAGCTGGACGCAGTCCTCGGTGCGATGTCCGGGTGAGTCATGGAACTCGCACCACTGGTCCTTTCCCCTCGTCTGATGCCAGGGAGGCAACGGACGAGGTTTTTTGAATCTCCCCTCGTCCCTCGTCGTGCTGAAAATCTTAGCACGGGGAAGGGAGAGTGGAGTGTATGAATCGTACCTTCCCGTGTAGGGAAAGTGTCTTTCCTTCTTCGGCTCGGCAGCAGAGGACGGTTCTGAGGCCTTAGCCTTCCCTTTCCTCTGCGCCGAGACTTCGGGCTGCTGCCCTTTCGGCTTGTCAATTCTCAGACGAGACTGAGACCTGGATCTGTTCCACTCCTCGGCTCGGATGAACCTATCCGATGCTTCCAAGGCTTCCTCCAGGGTCTGCGGGGGATGCATGACCATGAAGTCCAGGAACTTTCCAGCTTGGAGGCCGTTCCGTAGCGCGAACACGGCCAGGCCTTGATCCAGGCTTGTGATTCCGGATGACTCGTTGCTGAAGCGAGTCAGATAGTCGCGGAGGCTCTCGTCCTCCGCCTGCTGCAGACTCATTAGCTCTGCAGTGGTCTTCTCTCGGCGGTTGGCCGTAGAGAATTTGCTCTTGAACTTGTTGGAGAGGTCGTTCCAACCGGTTATGGAGCCTTCCTTGAGCCCTTTGGTGATCCAGGATTGGGCAACACCTTTGAGGGTCGTAGGAAAGTATTTACACCAGGTAGCCTCAGACCTCGGGTTCAGATACATGTGCCCCTCGTAAGAGGCAATGTGATCCTTAGGATCTGAGGTACCATCGTAAGTAATATGTGCCGGGATTTTGACCGTTGGCACACGCTCTTCCAGAATCCACTTCTGGAAGGGCGAGTTCGATGGAACCATGACCGCCTTCCCCTTGTACCCGGCCTCAGGGACCTCGCTCCCTCCTCTCTCAGAGGTGGAAGTGGTTTTCGTCCCCGGCTGAGACAAGGTTGGGTGGGGTCCGGTATCCTCTGGGAAGGTGAGGCGGCTATGCACACTCACCTCCCTCGAACCCAAGCGTTCGTGAACGCTTCGGCGGGCGAATTCCTGGTCCTTGGAGGGCCCCATGGAATTCTGAGCTTCAGAGTGGTCAGAGGGTTGAGGGTTCCTCCTCCTCTCCTTACTGGAGTTTCGGGTGTCCCCTCGCCACCTCTGGCCGAGCTGTCTATGTGGTGGAACTTGTCCACCATCATCCTGACCGATCCTCCTTTTCAGGTTTCTCGGCTGGTGATCATCAGGCATCTGGATTGGAGCCCCTTGAGCTTTAAGGAACTCCATGCAGATGGCCACTGCTCTGGCCACTTCCTCGGTGGAGGGTCCGGAGGGAGGAGTCTCCCTCGGATGTGACCTGGATTGCACGCTATGGCGCGGCGGGGAGTTCCTCGCACCTGAGCCACTCGGTCTCGGGGATGGCCCCGGCTGCCGAGTGTGGTGCGAGGTGTTCTCCTCCTGGAGGCTAGGACCTCTTGAGGCTTCCCTTTCCGGAGAAATGGGGGCCTCCGATTCGGAAGAGGCTTGCTCCGGGGAGGGATAAACCGGCTGGCGTTCCCTCACCGTAATCTGGCCTCCTCCTTTCTTAGCCTTCTTGGAACTCTTTCCACTCTTAGTCATGGCGACTGCCGGAGTGTTTGATGACTGACGCGAAATTTAGTAGCGTTCCCCACAGACGGCGCCAAATTGTTTCGGATGAAAACAATCGAATCTCGGAAGATCCTTTTATCTTTGAGGGAACTTGGTCTCGGTCCGAACGACGCAGGAGCCGAGGGTTTCCTGCACAACAAATACACGTAAACTAGCCTCGGGGGGGACGCCGAGGAAGGCCCCTCCGATGCTTAAGTCAGTATATTAGAGAGAGAAAGCTGTGCAAGAGTTTAGTTGCTTGAGGCTTTTGTGTCTTACCTCCTAAGAATTGACCAAATTGTTGGCTTTTATACCTTGGCTAATGAAGGAGGCGGATTGGGCCCGGAAGTCAGTTGGGCTGGGCCAAGCTGATTGGGCCGTTGACTGGCCTTGACATGGCTTTGAGGATGTTTGATTTTTGACTTTAGCATATTTGGAGAGTTGAACCTTTGCCTTGGGCTTTTAATTGGATCATTCAGTGACCAGGCCCAATTGGACTAAATTGGACCCAAACACTAGCTATACCTGGAGGGGAATTGCGGAAGCTAGATGGGTCATTAGGAGAGGGATGAGGTGGAGAATTGGTAACGGAGAGTCGGTTAGGATCTGGGGTGATCTTTGGATCCCGGGGACTCAATCTCACATGGTTATTTCCCCAAGGGGTAATGAAAATGCAGACCTGAGAGTGAGCTCCTTAATATCACCGAATGTTGCTTGTTGGAATTTTGACAGGTTACATCAGCTCTTCTTGCCATTTGAATGTGATCGTATTGCTAGCATCCCCCTGAGCTCGAGGCTGCCAGGTGATAGCATATGTTGGGACTTGGAGAGGAGTGGCCAGTATACGGTCAAGTCAGCTTATAAGACCATTTTCAATGATAATTGGAAGGGAGATGAAGAGGCCACTTCTGTTGCTGCCCATACAATCTGGAAGAAGATATGGCAAATTCAAGCGCTTCCTCGGGTTAAAGTCTTTGCTTGGAGGGCATGTCAAAATGCTCTCCCGACCCGTCGCAACATTAGCTACCGTATCAAGGATTATGACTCTGAATGCTGTATATGTGAGAGGGACTTTGAGTCCACTTTGCATGCCCTTAGGGACTGTAAGTTGGCTCGGGATGTTTGGCGAAAGAGCAGATTTGCCCATGTTGCTCTTTCACGAACGAGCTCTATTGTTGACTGGTGGGAAGGGTGCCTTGCTGAATTTGATGAGTTTGATGCAGCGAGTATTATTACCTTGTGTTGGGCAATCTGGGGTGCGCGCAACTCGTGGATTATGGAGGGTGTGGCGCCAGTCCCTGAGGATGTGGTGAGTTATGCTAAGAAGACAAGTAGTGAGGTAGGTGATGCTCTAATTAAGAAAAATACTAAGGCTGCGGGGATGGCTCTTCCTGCTTCATGGTCTCCTCCTAGTCCGAGCTACTACAAAGTTAATGTGGATGCAGGATTTATCGATGGGCTGGGATCGGGACTGGGTGTTGTAGTAAGAGATGAGAATGGGGGAGTGTTGGTGTGTGGTGCTGCTCAGTCACAGGACAGGTGGGATACGGCTACTGCAGAAGCCAAGGCAGTGATGTTCGGGTTGCAATTGGCGAAGGACGCTGGAATGGATAAGCTGGTGGTAGAAGGGGATTGTTTGCAAGTCATTCAGGCATTAAAAAATCGGTCAGCAGGGGCTAGTTCTTTCTCCTTAATTATTGAAGACATTTGATTGTTTTGTAACAATTTTATTAGTGTTGTTTGGTCTTTTGTGAAGAGAGGAGGTAATAGGGTAGCTCACGAATTGGCTCACCTTCAACCTTGGGAGGTTGGTCAAAGAGTGTGGAACAGTGACTTCCCATCTCATGTACTTGCTATTGCTTCTGATGATTTAATTAATTAAGCTCTCCTGATGGGGTTTTATCAAAAAAAAAAAAAAAAAAAAAAGAAATAAAAGCAACAAAATAAAGGATATAGAACGAAGAAAAACTAGCCTCGCGCATATTGTACTCTTCCAAAACAATATTAGCATCTTTCTCCAACCTGGCATAAACGGTCTCCTTGTTTGCCCTAGGCAAGAGCATAACACCTCCACTGTAAAATAAATTGATAAATAAAATAAAATAGGGTAATGATATATGTAGTTCAGGATTATGTATAAACATTAAATATACATCCTAAAATTAAGTTGAAAATTCATGATAAAATCACACGTAAGAGTGATTAATGTAATTTATTTTCAACATTTTCTTTATTTTTTACTCCATTTTTTAACTTCTTTTTAAGGGTTATGTTATCATTTTCCAAGAAAATAAACCACCACAAATATTTTTATTACATTTCCAGCCCATCATTAATCATGTTGCGGAACATTAATCATCATCATATCACTTTATTCCCAAATATATTACTCGTAACAATTGCATTAGTAAGCTAACAAGATTTGACAGTTTCTAGTTAAACTTACAAAATACTTAAGATTCAATTATGAACCCTTTCTTTTTCTAATCGAAGTTTGGGTGAACTATTCAAGAAATATTACCTAAAATCTGTTGTGCTATAAACCTCATTTTCTATATGAGGTAAATTAGATCCCTATAGTTTAGCCTCATATTGAAAAAGATGACCAAAATATCTTTTCACATTATTCTTATCCCTTTAAATTAAAGATCAAATCTTAGTCAAATATGAATATATGATAAGCAAAAATTAATCACCTAATAATGTTCAAGTTAACCGGTCTAGCAAGGGTCTGTTCATATTTAATTATTTTCAGTTCAGTTCAGTTCCAATCAGTTCAGTTCAGTTCAGCTCCAATCAGTTCAGTTCAGTTCACCTCTTAATTTCCCTCTCTCATAAAATATTCATTTCAGCTTAGTTCAGTTCAGTTCAGCTCCAATCAGTTCAGTTCAGTAAATATGAACAAGCCCTAAGTCCTAACCTCAAGTATTGACCATAGATGAAACCAAATTCTGAAGATTCTTGAAGTGTGGAGTATTGGCTTAGTTGGTTCACGTAATTAATTTTAATTGATCAGTAATTAACGGCTGAATAATCATATATATTGGTATATACAAAACGAAAGATTGATAAACCTAAGTCTAAGGAATCATGATAATATCTAGAAACAAATGGTTTACAGATTAAAAAGTGGAGTAAATATAGCAAAACCTATGAATTTAAAAGCAGTCTTGATTTTGTCATCTCGGCTTAATTTAATAAACATTAAAAAGTAGAGTATATTTGACAGTTGTGCCTAATCAAATGTGTCAACTAAAATAAGACGTCGGTAAAATATGATATAAATAAATACAAGGTTAGGAAACGTACATAGAAGGAGGCTGTCGAGGAGCACGCTGCAATGCTTCCTTTGAAATGTCATACTTGACACTCCTACATGCATGAAGAAATATTCATGGTTGAATTGGATACGCAAAATAAAAAATATAATTATGATAAAACAGATGTGATAAGAGAGTTAGCTTACCTAAGTTGGTCTTCTTCGTCGTTAATATCACTATCAGTGAATTTGTACAACCAAAAGCTGCAAAGTGAATGAATCCATATTAGAAAAGTAAAATAAAGATTTAAACCTATTGACATATTGTTTAGCCGAAATTAATTAAAATAGCATATGCAAAATAATCAATTGCAAAATCATTATAAAACATAATGGAGGCGTTTGGTTCGCGGACTAGTATGCAGAGTGATATGGGTTTGGAATCAGGAATGGGGTTAAGGTGGTATCGGGTTGGATTTGATATCGGGGTTGCAATTTTATACCTAGATTGGGGTTCATCAGTGTCCGTCATATCAGAATAGTCGCTTCCACTTTCCTCGTTATCGGAAAATGTATTATTGTGATCGTCATCCTCTGGTTTTCCGTTGAGATCCAACTGTTGCATCCGCATCATCTCTTTTTCCATGCTCATATTCTCAGTTTGTATTTCCAATAACGCTCTTCGCCTTTTCATCTCCTCAATATGTGACCTTACATCCTTTTCACTTCCACTTCCACTCCCTTCTCCCGCGCGCTCAAAATCGTCGTCGGAAGATAAACGAAGATCATCAACAGAATTTGAATTATTCATTGCCATCAATGATTTCAGAGAGACTTCTGGTAAAATATAATCGATCAAAACCCTTTATACAATCTCCAATATAGTAGATTGGTGGTAACAACTAACAAGTATGAGTCTATTACTGTATTTATATATATAAAAAAAAGTATCAGTAAATTATTTTTTACTTGAATATGGAATAGGAGTTTTATTATGATTAAAATATTTACTATTGTTTGATTATGGAATAAGAGTTATTTTAGGATTAGGAAACATTAACATTATATAGAGAGTACACCCTATAAATATGTTTTTTTTTTTTTTTTATAAGAGTAAAGATTTTTTTTTTTTTTTTTTTTTTTTTTTAATGGGTGATGCTATACGTGGTTAATGCCAATCTGTGATTAATGTAAATTTATCTATAACATTATATACACACCCTATAAGTTTTCAAAAAAAAAAAAAAAAAATTATTTTTTTTAATGGGTAATGCTATATGTGGTTAATGTCAATCCATATGATTAATGTAAATTTATCTTTAATATATTTTTTTTAGCTCCTCATGTTTATCATTTTCCTATATATTTTCCTTTTGCATATAATAATAATAAAAAAAAAAAACAGAAGAAGTATTAAAGTGTGATCACAACTTCATTCAATTTTTTTTATTTTATTTTATTTTTGACGGGAACTTCATTTAGCTCTACAGTAAATTATTGTAGACCCAAAATTTGACACTTTCAAATAATATAATCACATTCTGGATGATATAATCACTTTTTTAGATGATATAATTATCTATTTGTGATCATATTTTGAATTATATAATCTCATATTAAACCATTTAATGAGATAATATAATTATCTTTAGGATGATAAAATTTAAAAATCATGTTTTGAATGATGTAATTTACTATTTGATAGTACTTTTTATAATGATAAATTCACCTTTTGAGTTATACATTTACATAACAGTTTCAAAATGATATAATTTATTGTAGACCGGATCTATTTTATTCTTTGTATTAAACCTTACTCAGCCTCACTTGCAAGCTTCAACTCCCAAGTGATGATTGGAAACGAAGGAAGTACCTTGTATGAAACTAGTAATTCTTTCTAGCCCACATTCAAATGGTCAGATAAAAACTTGATTGTATATATTTCCTTTATCAACTTTAATGTTACAATTTTTACAAATATACACATGTTAACCACACAGACTAATCCTACAAAATTTAATATGAGCTAAATGTACAAGTTAGGGTACAAATGCTCGATCATTACAGGTTTCTCCCAGAAGTACACAATGCCAGATACAATCACTCAAATTAAGTAGAATCCTCTAAAACATGGACATGCAGCAAAGCATCCTTGAACACTTTTGAAGTTTCATGATTCGTGGTTATTCAGATTGGGGCCTTTGTGATGAACTGCACTTCGATAAAAAAAAAAAAAAAAAAAAAAAAAAAGAGTTTTCCGTGGCTCCTAGAAGGTGTTCATTATGATCCTAAGCAATATCCAGCAATAACAGGAAGGTATCATACGGCAATACCAGAAGTTGACTCAGGTATAGTTCAAGCTAGTTTTCAACATATTCACAAGAGAACATTATTGTCCAACTGGATCAGTTTTACTGAACCGTCACCTCCACATGTGAGGAAACCATCAGAAATAACTTGAATATCTGTGACACCAACCTGCCATATCAAGGATGTATTTAGTAAAAGTAGATATAGATTTCAAATTTTGATGTAGAAATTAGTTTACTCACCCTAGTAACTCCTCCAAAGCTTTGAGAACTACGCTGAAGAAATGTATGTCTCTCATGCAATCTTGGCCAATGAAAGACCAGGCTAGCTCTCTTAGCATCCCAAAGTTTAACATCTCCATCCTTGCTTCCAGTCAAGAAAAAACTAGTATTTGGAATCGTTGCAATCTTAGAAATGCTCCCTGTTGTGAAAATTCAAAACATAGCATGTCAAGCAGATACAATTTAAATTAACAGGAAATCTGAGAAACCAGACTTTACCTGAGTGAGCCTTTGGTATATACCATAACATTCCATGTCGATTCTGATCTCCGACACTTGAGGAGTGTTCAGATCGTATATCTATAGCAGCTGTATCAGATCTCTCAGCACTGTTCAAATGTCTCTGTCTTTTGGTCTTTCCTGTGGCTATATAACGGAAATCATGAAGTCCAACGTCACCACCTTTTCCACCAGTAACAATTAGGGGAGAAATAGAACCAGTTCCCACATCATTATCAAACACAGCAATGGAACTAGCACCACCTACACCAAGAGGCCAAAACGGTTGAGAGAACATAATCATATATGTGATAACAGTTTGTGATGGCTTGTCAGCTTGCAATATCTCAAAATATAAGTGAAAGCTATTGTAAGATCAATAAGTAGATTCGTGATTCAATAACTACTTTTAGCAACATTTCTACTGTTTGTTACTCCCTGGAATAGCAATATAACATCCTAAAGCTGATAGCAACTTGGGCAAGATATAAATAGCTAAGAATGTTTTCTCTTCTGAAATTAGTACCTTCATGGCACATCACAGAAGCTCGGGAGCTCGATGGGGGAGCTAGTGTATCCCATATAACCACATTAACACCATTTGAACTGTAACCAGAAGCAGCAATAACTGATCCACTGGTTGCCACGTAGCAGACATCCCTGTCAAATCAAATAGCAACCATGTAACTATTCACCCCAAAAAAAAAAAAAAAAAAAAAAAAAAAAAAAAAAAAAAAAAACATATAAGCTTAATCAATGCAGAAAGGGACAGAAGCTTAACATATTTTGTACATCAAAAGCCTCCACTTAAAGCATAAAAGATATTGGAGGGAAATCAATATGCAGCTGCCCCCCCCCCCCCAGCATGACATAAAACTCGAAAACAAAAAAACTTCATCCATTATACAATATAAATGATACAAGTGCCCAATAAATGCAATCAATTACACGCCCAATTTCTTTCCAAAGTCCATCCACTTTTGGAAGCCAGAAAAGCCAGTATATTTTGTTTTACCATGTTAGTGAGAGTTTCTATCAAACGTGAGCAGATAAAGTGTCTTTATGTTTCATATGGTCTTCCAGAAACGGCCATAAGGATGTGTACTTCACGCCCCAGCTCATCAAAGGTACATATTTTGCAGTTCTAAGTTCGATGCAAAGCACAGCAATGGTGAAAAAGAAGCAATAACAGTCACATGCATATTTTAAGTCTAAACACTAGCCTGCATAGCACAATATCATAATGTACAATGTGGGAAACAACTCATGAGAAAGCATGTTTGTTCCTTCTCCTTTAAGAATAATACTTACGACACATGACCATTAAAGCAGAGAGATGACTCAGTTGGCCTGACATTGCTCCTCCCCCCACCTCCAATTGCCAGGCGGACACAGTTCCATCTGATGCACTGCTAGCAAATCTGTGGCCACAGTGATCAAACTGTAAACTAGTAACAGACGGAAGAGCATATGGAGGAGGTATATTAGCTGCAGCTATTATTCCATAAGTTGCAGCAGCTTTCTCTTCACCAAACTGCAGTCATTATATATAAATTCAGCAATATGAGGACGTGTATACAAGCAAGCAAACAAGAATGAAAAAATAAAGTTACCCTAGCTAATGACAACAATGTAAATATTATATATTTCTTTACTATTCTATATATTATTACTAAATTCAAAGAAGAATATTAGGTCAATTTCAATAAGAGCTAAGATGTCTGAAAATTTGATAGAGATGTAACCATATAAAATTGTTTAAATTTAGGAAAGTGTGTTTTTGTCATGAATTTTAATTTTATACACTTTTCAAGAGTGTATTTCATGCTTATATGTAGCCCTAAAGGCTATGTATAGCATTACCCTAAAAATAAATGTCATACGAGAAGCAATGAAGATACAGTTACCCTCACAACAATGTGTCATCAAGACCAAATTTTATGACTTATATACAAACAATTTTACTGGTCACATAGAAGATATGTTAAGATATCAGAAAAAAAAATCACATTGACTGACTCATAATTAATTTCTTGCACTCCTTAATTAATACCAATTTAGAAAGTGTATGCTTATATGCAGCCCCATGAGAGAATATGCATAAGAGATTAACATTAACAGCTTGTTAAGAAGTGAACTATTATACTGGGATATTCTGAAATGCAAACTAAAATTAACTTCTATCTGATGTATTAAGTTTTGAGACAAGGGTTCCTACTACTAGAAATTTAACCACAGTTTGTAGCCTCTTTAACACATTTAAAGCAAAAATATGCAATATTGCAATTGAAAGATCTTTATGTAGTCATATACCTCCCATAGGTAAATGTGAGTGTTGCTAGAACCAACTAGAAAGAAAGGCCTGGAAGGATGAGCAGCTAAAGCACTTCCATTTACATTATTCAATGTAGCTGGTGGATCAACACAATGGTCAAATTCCTCTTGAATTCCCCATCCCATGCCAGTGGCACCAATACCAGCATAACCTGGGATCCCAAATGCACCACCACCAGTTAAATCATTTCCAAGTCTTGCTTGAGAACCAAAACCATTGGTAGCTACACCTAATCCAAGAGGTGAACCACTATCACTTCCAGGACCAGCACCAGGAGAGACGCATGTAGGAACTGGAGTAGAATCGGTACCAGCCCAACCATTCTGTGGCCAATCAGCTTGTGCCCAGATATAGTCTGATGGATCTCTAAAAGGCAATACATCACCCCAACTAAAGAAACATATTCCCTGTACAATGTAAGATTGAATTATTAGGTCATAGAGGCATATTTATGGTAATATTGATAAATTTGGTCAGGACAGGATTAAAGACACAAGCTTCTTCACAACGCAAAAGATATGGGAACAACTCTCATTAATACAGTTGCCTTTTGATTAATTCTTCCTTACTTCATAACTGAACAAGCATAAACAAGTTCCACATTGTTATACCAACATAAACAAGATCACCAGCATGAATAACATGATGGCAACCTCATCAGATTAGTTGGGTTGTGAGAGGCGAATAGTGACCCAGACAGCAAGCAAATACTCACAACTTGGCCAACCAAACAGGGATTTTTTTTTTTTTTTTTTTTTTTTTCCATTCACATAAAGCCCAAGATATTAATTATAAAACAAAATAAAATAAAAACAACTGAAGATCTTAAGCCAAGCACTCATTATTCTCAGTAGTACCTTACAAACTATAAGTGAGTTTATATTTCACACTACTTTCTACGCTACACAAAACAAGAAGTTTCTTATGCACAACAATGTACCTTTTTGTTTCTGGCAAGTGCAGCCTGCTGTTGTTCTATGGAACTAATACAAAACGCCTGTCCAATAAAGATAGTCATTAAATTCAACATAATGTTGTAAGGCAATAGTTCTGAAAATGATGATTACTACAAATATGTCCAGAGATAAAACTAACCTCCAATAGTTCTCCATTTCGCCTGTAAATTTCTTTAGGACTGTTGAAAGGAACCACCTTTTTGGTGACAGCTTCCCCCTTTCTATCAGAATCCAGAACGTCATTACTCTGTTCAGAACCTGCAGAAGGGCTTTTACTTCTATTACCACGAGGACTGCTATCAAATATACCTTCTTGCTTATAACTTTCCAGTTTTTCATGCTCTCCGAGAACACCCATATGCAAATGATTCCACCCTTTACCAGGCTTCCAGTGAATGAGCTCTGACAACTTAACTGGTAATTGAGCAAGCATTTCAGAGACAGTTTTAGGACAATTGCAGATTGTTAGTAACTTAGAGCTTGAACATAAATTATCTTTATCAGAAGTTTCTGAGAAACCAGAACTTCCATCCTGATGCTCACGAAGCACATTAGAAGTAGATTGGTTTGATTCCTCCAACCATGTTAGGATAGGTAGAGAGGTCCCACTCTGTACTTTCTGCTGAAGAAAAATGGCAAGCTGCCTTGCAGTATGCGGTGGTATATGAGTGAAGGTATTTCCCATCGTTTCAATAAATATCATTAAGACCTGTCTAACTTGTTTCAGAGAACAATTACTATCAGGGTGGAGAGATAAACTAGAATCCAGGACAGATGTCTTAGGTGCATCATCATAAGATAGTTTACTAAATAAAAAATTCAGCTGGCATTCAATAAACTTAGATAAATGTTGCCACAAACACGACTTAAGAATAATCCATATCTCATCTTCAGGAATTATAAACAACGTATTCCCTCCATTCTCCTGCTGCAATCCTTGAGTGCCCAGTGAACCATTAAGGCCTGACGGTTCGAGGCTGAGTGCCTCAACCACCTGTCCAAGTATAGTCCTCAAACTTACAATGTCAATTTCTTCATATATTCCATCAGTGCATGACACCAAAACAGGTCGCAACATTGCATCAAGAGCTTTCAGGTTACGTTGAAGCATTGCTGAAGTGAAATATATACAATACTTGCATAAATCAAGAGCAATAATGCACTGACCAGCAAAGTTTCCAGAACTACCACTACAATGCTTCATTAAAGCAGCTTCTAGGTTGGAGATTGATAATATAAAACCCTGCATGTAGAATTCCAATAATTGGAAGAAGCAATATGGTTTGACATCAGACAAATTCTGCTCAGATGAAGACAAGACCCTGGAACTAGCTATGCTACAAGCATTAATAAATCTTGGAAGCGAATAAGACAAACGTTCAGTCACATCTACAAAATGTTTGATCAGCCAGGATGAAGTACAGTCATTATGGTTTGTTGGAGGCAAATGAACGTGAGAAGCAAAACCTTTACAGCCGTAGAGCAACAGCTTATCACTGTCTAAAGAAACAAAAATCTGCATCAAGATTTAGAAAGCTTAGCATGTTTAAAAACCAAACTAAACAGGGACAATCAAATGATTGAATACTAACTTACCTTATCAAGCAATACATCCCGGGCCACAGAAAATTTCTGCTCCAGATAAGCAAATTCGGAATCCAAAAGCTGTTCAAAATTTCCAAGAAGAGCGCCATATTGACTTATCTCATGCCCCAGCGAGCTCGCATTGAAAGTACTAGAATTTGATAATACTGAACTAGTGGTAAGCCAGCATGGATGCTCCTTAAAAAGTTTGGCGGCATACTGCATGGCTAGATCTAATTTGACTTGGTAAACCAAATGACAGGCTACCTCATGTGAAAGCCACCTAAAAGAATCAGCTGGAGATGGAAGCAGTATCCTGGGAAGAATTTCAGAATCTTCACCCTTTGATCTTTTATCCGGAATTCCAAGAATGCTGGCAGATGATGATAGGCATTCCAAAGCTTCAAGCTGACCACATTATAATGCCGGTCAAATTTAACGAGAAATTGATTAATCAACAAACATTCATGTTATTATCCAAACAGTAAGCATCATTCACTTGTAAGAAGTAGCATACTGAAACTTGACGCCTCTTTGTCTAAATAACAAAGGAATTACAAGGATATGACTAAGGAAAAAATATTTGATTAGCATTTTAACAATACTAGAAAACAGTTGAACTAGACTTACCGGAAGGCCACGTTTGTTAAATCCAGAAGCAGTCATCACTATAGTCCAACGACACAAAATTGCAATGTTCTGCTCCCCAACAGCATTTTTTAGGACATTCTTGGCTGTCAACATTTGGCAGTACTGACCAATACTAGGGTCAAGAAAAGCGGCAGATCTAAATGAATTTTCAAACTCAGTGGCATAAGAATCCCCTTGCAAACCAAGAACAATTAGAAAGGACTGGAGGTAATTACCCAACACCCACTGCAAAGAAAGAACTGATAGCTTAGAAATGAACAGCATAATATCAAGAGTATTCTCAAACAAAGTATCAAAGATAGTCGTAACAAGCCACCTCAAGAATACTCGCAAGCCAGTAGTCGCCTTTCTCAATTGCAGATGGAAGTAAAATCTTTAATATTAGATGGCGCTCCGACGCTCCACCTTGTCCCTCAATGAGCCGGCAAATTACAAGAGCAAGTTGTTCATCTCCAAGAGTCTTAGCACAAACAGTGATAGCAGAAATTGTATCACCTCCAAGCAAAAAGAAAGCAATTGCTAACTCATATTGATGCCTCCCCATCAACACATAAGCATTTTTCAAAGCGGCAGCTCTATGTCTCTCTTCCTGTATGACAACCAATATAACAGATTATACATTAAGCAAGTAGGATATATAGGTTTTGATACAAACAAGCAAGATATAGGTTTCACTGCAACAGTGGTATGACACACTGGTGAAAAACAATACAATTCAGATTATGCAAGGGAAATAGTCAGTTCTTGAGTTAAGATTTAAGGAGCACCTGAAAATTGCGAGATAGAAATGCAACTAGGGGCTTGTCTTTCTCATCCTTACTGATCTTGAAGAGGCCAGTCAAGACTTGAAGTCTATTTAATGCTATGTACAGAAGGGCACACGCCTTTGGATCTTTATTTTTCAGATATCGAGATCTAGCCAGCTTTTCCATCTGCAGAAAAAACTTGTATTTAAATTTTTTTGCAAGCTGCTATGCCAAAAAATCTTAGTAGTACATATGCAGTAAGCAAATCTACAAGAAACAGCAAGCTTCAACAGGGTATAAGCATTCAGATTTCCTATATCAAGAAATCTTTTTAAAATCTATAGCCCATTTTATCTATTCTTCATGATTATATGCTTAATGTATGGTTATACATTAATTATGGCACACTGTACAGAGAAGCAGTGTCTTCTGTGAAGGGACAGCTAGAACATCCAAATATCACCCACGAGGTTTAAAATCAGGAGAAAGAAAGATGACTTAAATAAAATAGAATAACATTAAAATTGTAGCAGAATATAAATATGAATATCAATTGCCCCTGACTGACTTTTGGAACTAGCTTTAAAGCACAAGTACAAGTTCTTGACTTCTATATAGACCATGACTTCTAAGTCTATTTGAAAATACCACAGAATATTTCCTCTGAGCATACTACTGGACAATTCAGACTAATGCATAAGAATTAATGAGCATCTAATACTGTTTCTTGAAACATTAGCCAAAATGTTCTCCTGCTGCTATCTTTGTTTTCTAGGCACTCTTTAGTCTTTAGTCTTCTTCAGATGAACGAGAACTAAATAGGTGTGGAAGACTTCTAGATGGATGGTAAGTTTTTTCATGCAACCTTTAAGAAGTAAATGAATTGGAGGAAAAATAAGGTGATACCAAGCTGGCCTTTAGTTTCTCACTGCATCTAGTTACGGGAACAAGATAACTACTACTCTTGAAAGACTAAGATAAGGTGTATTAAGAAAACTTGTGAGCTTTATGCATTTAACAACTTATATTTTTGGTAAACAAGGAGTAAGCTAAATTGAACTAGATCTATTACCCAAAGAAGTAGATAATCAGAAGATGGAGCATAGCAAGAGAAACATACAGAAAATTATTGGCATTAGTACTCAAAGCAAGATCATACTAAAGCATTTTTTTTTGACAAATGACTAGCCGAAAAAGTTAATTGACACCAACGAGAACTGAGTTCAAAATCAATTTCAATATAGATGACAACTATGACAGTCTGAAGAATACAAGTAGCAACAGTAGAGCAGCTCTAGTGACCAGTGTAGATTTATTTTTTTTTTTTTTTAAAAAAATAAAAAAAAATATCTGTAATGGATCCCTAAAAGCTTCAGAGAGTTCTCATTTCAGCCCAAACTCACTAGAAACCATGACAATATCAGATGAAGGAACTAATTACATAACAACTCCAATATACCTTACTGCGCAGATCTGAAAGATTTGTAAACCAGAACCCAACACCCAACTTCCGCATATCTTCCCAAGTCGGTTCAGTTGGTAGAATAGTACTAAATAAGATTGCTTGACAATCAGAATGGAAGGCCCAAACCATCACCCTAGAATCAACAACTAATTCTTCAATTGATGGAGTCTTATGGTATCTCCGACGGTAATCCAGTTGCTGTAGCCTTATTCCGCACCAGAACCTTACATCAAACCAATGATAGGTGTCATAAACTACAAAGCATCTAATGTCGGAAAATGATAAAGGTTATAAATAAGTAAACTACAAGAATAAACACTATCAAACAGAGTGCGCTCTTCAAAGACAAAGACCATACAGCTTTTGCTTTTCCGGTGACTGCAGGGGGCGGTTGGGGGTTATTGGACTATAAAAAATAAAAAAAAAACACTTGCCTTGAGGGAAAAAATGTAATATACACACACGTACACACAAAATGCTATCAGTTTTGGTCATGTGGTGCATGTGCCCAGGTCATATACAGTTTCCCACACAAATAGACTGGATTATAATACAGCTAACATGACTCATTACCTAAGCTAATGGATTTTGTTATAGTATTTCACATTAAGTTACCCAAATAGGTGTAGGCAAGTTAAAATCCTGCAGTAGGCCCTGTTCTCTTCAACAGATGTAGATTTCAGATAAAGATATTTATGCTGATCAAAAGCTCATTGTCCAAAACTGATCCTATTAATCATTGAAATTCGTTAAAGTTGAAGAGAACAAGGCTTGGTAGTGCAAAGTTCTTTACCGTTACCTTCTTCCTGTGTCATCAAGGCTTCCATATGCTGAGGTCGATTGTGAATTACTAATTTCATTCAGAAGTTCTATAATTGCAAGCATCTGCATCTTCTGTGAACCAGTAAGATCATGATGACCATGCAATTTCTCCAGTATTTTATGAAATCCATATGACTCAGAGCTTGTGGCAGATGCAGCGGGCACACAGTTCATAGCATCACCCGCAGAAGTATCTGCAAAATGCATCAGCCCTTCATCTGAATTCCGAGAACAATTGTTTGTGTCGAAGTTATTGCTCCACTGGAGTCCTTGACTAGCTCCTACTTTTAATGACTGTCCTTCGAAATACTTTGAGAGATTAATCTGTGTAATAATGATGCTAGACTTTGGTGGAGAAACTCCTTGGCCAATGGCGGAATTAGAGGTTAAACACTCAAAAAGATGACAAACAGCTACATATGCACGTCTCCAGTTGCCTATAACATTTTAGAGCACCCATTTAATAAATTACAATAGCAGCACCAAAAAATGCTAAAATATCAAATTTCAATGTTAATCAATCAATCAATCACAGAATATTAAATCTCAATGTTAAGAGTAACAGAAATCTTTGTATCACAGAAAACACATGGTTACAAAGTGAAAATTGGAACATTGTCTTTGACTCACAACAAAAACACCGAATTATTACGATCAGATGCAGATAAAATTTACACTTCTTCAGGCATCAATACTTGCATGATTCAAACAGTCCAAGAAGATAAGTGTTGGTCCTTTCTGATGAAGCCCAGAAGAGCAAATAAGAAATTATACCGAATCCTATTGAATTCTAAAATTTCCAACAAAACAAACCCTCGTGTATACAAATATAGCACTTGATAAGATGGCTTGAAATAAAGGTTAAGGTAAAAAAATAATAATAATAATAATAAAAAATGACTGTAAATATTTGTTCTCTTGGAATATATGATTGTTGTCTTCAAGCAGAGCATATAATAGAACAGGAAAGGCCAGCAAGTGTAGTGGAGAACTCGACATCAGCAGTTCATTGTCTTTCCTAACTGGCTGGCATAAGCCTTTTCCAAAACCAAAATAACAATTTTTTCCCTATCTAACCAAATTAACAAATTTTTTTCCTATCTTTTTTTTTTTTTTTTTTTTTTTTTTCCCCTATTTCTTATAACATAGAATACCAAATATGTAATGATTAAACATACCTGAATAAATATTTGTCAAGAGTGCCTCAGGGTGGTAGAAAGGCAGAGGACCAGCTAATTTTTCAGCAACAACTGTCATCTTCAAGAAGCAATTCTTGTTCAATGGGATAATGTTTGGTTCAGTACCATCTCCAATCAGAAGGCTACGTACATCATCATGTGCCTTTGTCAAAGGAGGGCAGAAAGAATCTCTCTCACTGCTTTTTTCAAATGACAACTCTTCAAAGACTTGAATTTTACCCACAGAATAATCAGTCGAATGCTTGTTACCTTTATATAATGACCAGTGACTGAAGAGAGTAAAGTAATTCTCATGAATAACTACAAGTGTACCCCTAGGCCCTATAACAAAGTCACAGATAGTAGGCGAAGTACGCACAATGGCAATGCAAACCCAGGAGGACGATTCTGGCAGTTTTTCCAGGTCATGTGAGATCTGAACACTACAAACTCTTCGGGAATAAATGTGCAGCTCATTCTGGAAGCAGACCCCAAGAAATAATATATTTTCTATTTGAAACCAAGTGAAAGCCACAATTTTACCATTCAAGCATATCTTGTCTTCCAATTCCAGAGTCCCAGCACCTGTGAGATGCAGAGGTTCCCATATATATAACATGTTTACATTATTTCTATGACCATCTGAACATATTGTTGCAATCTTTTGACCCCAATCAGCTACAGCTATAGCAGTGACAGGGCTTTGAAGGGAACTAATTATACCTACAAGCTCAAAAGGAGTCTGACCAACTGATAAATCAGATAGGTTAATCCTCCAGAGTCTTGATCTACCATCTGAGTGTCCTGTGGCCATGTGAAATGGAAAGTTGTTAAGACAAGAATCATTTACCAACTTGTTCTGCAGATAATGCATTGATAAACTAGGAGACACCACAGAGATACTTGTAATGTCATTATGAACATCTGACAAATCTGATGAACACGGACTCACAGCCATGAAATACGTTTTGCCAGCAAAGTCAGTTTTATACATACATATGCTGCAGTCAGCATTATATCCAGTGTCAGAATTGTACAGGTGGACTCTTTCACAATGCTCATAGGAATGCAAGGTCAATTTCCAGGACTGAATTTCACAGCTCTTCATCCATACTCCCATAAGAAAGAAATTATTGAATTTGATATTCTCTTCACGAGTGGAATGTAAGGGAACTGAGACAATTTTGTCAGGCCCATCTAAGTGATCACGCACGGCGAAAGGAATAGTGCAGAGTTTATGGCATAGTATATTGTCTTCTTCAGTAACGCAAGTTTTAATGATAAGGCAGTCTATTCCCTGAGCATGTCCAATGAGAAGAATCTGGTCTTCTTCCAACCATGACGGCGCCCAATACAAGCTCATATTCTGAGATATAGTATACTGCAGGACAAGGTTTCCCACAATTTTCCATGAAGGAGTGAAGGTTGGCAGACCAGAAAGGCTATAAGAATTGTTGGAAATCGACCAGAACATAAGTAGCCCATTAGAATCCAAGGAAACAGCTAGTTCAACTTCATTTGTACAAGGATGAACAGCAACTTGTAAAATTTTACCAGTGTGACCTAGAGTATCCAAGATTCTAACAGATTGACATGACAATTTATCTGTTTCACGTACTAGAGAAGATTTCTCCTCTACCTTCTGTAATGATTGATCATATAACACTGACCAGATAAAGGAGTTACAAGGAAATAATTGAAGTAACGAGCATATGGCTGGTGGACCAAAGAATCTATTCCTCTTGATACTGACTTTGTTTAAATAAGATTCTCTGTAGCACCTTGGACCAATATTTCTACAGGAGCTTCTCATACCAGGCTCCGACACTTCCTGCTTCTTCCATAATGTCACTCGTGGAGACTGCATTGTAGCAATGTCATCAAGGCAGTGCACAGCCCAAAACGTGAGCATTTGGCCAGGACCGATCCCAATCAACCACTCACAACTGCCAACCTCGTCACTTTGGCATCTCTCACCGGTGAAATTTTTGTTAAGTCCATCTCCCCCACAAACCATGCCATCTATTTCCAGAGCCCACTCTAAGAAAATATCTTTGCCCAGAGTACCACCCAATGATTGATTAATTTCGATGGAAGTAACCACACAAAAAGATCGTCTTAGGTTTGAAGTTTCACGGTTATCTTTACTGCCCTTCCGCATTCTGCTGTCATCAATCTCACACCACAACCTGACAGTCCCATCTACACTGCTAGTTAGCAGAACATGCCTTGTTGCATATAGAAAATCTCCATTTAATTGGCGTCCTCCACAAGGTCTCCACTGAATCGCCAAAACAGGTTGAGGATGCCGTAATTCAGCAGCAACATATCCAGCTTTTCTATCATACTGGAACACACTAACACAACCACTTTCATTACAAGGCACATTAACTAATCCATCAGCATGATGATTAGTAGGATATGCACCAGTTGCTGAAAGTCCATCAAGCGACCAAGTCGCGGAAACTAGAGTTTGAGGAACCTTCATTCTGAACTTCCATGCTATCTCCCAAGACTTTATGTTTCTTTTCCATAAAACTACTTCTTTTCCTGCAGCTATTATCCCATCTCCGGAGCCCGTCCACGCCACAGCCTCAGCCTTGGCAGATTGCACCAATGTAGCAGTCTGACTCCAACAAAAAGAACCTGAATATGAGTAAATTAATTGATCCCGAACTTTAAACAAACAGCAGCATTAGTCCGCAAAATTGATGAGCACTTGAATTAGATTCTTAGCATTGTTAGCAAGTAAATTCAAAAAATATGCAAAACAATAAACTCCTGAGCTCTATCCATTAGTCCCGAACTCAATACAAACAACATTAGTCCAAACAACATTAGTCCAAAAATTTGATCGCACATAAACTGAAATTCATAGCAATTAAATTCAACAAATTGTAACATAAATAAACTCCTGAGCTCTTCCAATGTATAAGATCCATTAATCTACATCCATGGCATCAGAACTAAAATCTCATGTTCAAATGAATTATTCAGCGTTAATAAGCTCAATATAAGTTCAATTCAGATAATTCTACGAATTTCAATGAGTATCTTACAATCTAAACTCTAGAAACAACAATTCGCACAAAATTCCAGTCCTACAAAATCGAAATTTGTAAAAACTGCAAAAAATACCTGGAGAAGAATCATAATGAAACAGAAAAACATGATTATCCGCGGCGGCAGCAAGATCGCCGGAAGAAGGAATCGCCGGCGACCAAGCGACGGAGACTACGTCGGGGAAGTCGGAAGAAGGGAGAAGTTCGAATACTTGCCGGAAAACAGGGCCAATGCGAGACTGTTGCGGGGAGAGAGGGGAAGGAAAGTGAGAAATAACGAGGAGAGAGGAAGCTCCATAAGCAATCCATGAGTATCCGGCGAAGTCCGGCAACCAATCGACGGCGGAAGATCCGGATTCTGACAGGTTTGGAGAAGGTGGAATTGTTTCTGATTTGATTAGTTGCAGAGGAAGGTGGTCGGTTAGATCGGCGGCGGAAGGTTCTGCCATTGTTGTGGGTTTTGATGAGGTCGAGTTTTGATGGAATGATGTGATCTTTGAGTCGGAGGTGAAGATATTTCTAGTTCAATGGAAAATACTAAAGAGTACTTTTGACTGTTGTGAATTTGAGTTTACTGCCAAATTTTACCCCCAAATTTTTTGATTGAATATCAATAAATTCAAGGGTAATGTTATATGTAGCCCTAAGAAATATATATAAGTATTAAATACATTTTTGGAAATTATAAAATTAGAAATTTATGATAAAAACACGCGTAAATCAGTGTAATTAGTGTTTATATATATTAGGGCTTGTTTTCGTTAAAATAAAATTATATAAAAGGCTATGTATAGCATTTTCCTAAATTCAAATTAGGGCTTGTTTTCGTTAAAATAAAATTAGGACTTGTTAATTACTCTCTCCGTTTTAATATACTACCTCCGTTAACAGTTATTTGCAACAAAAGGAGGTAGCACAGACTCCTAGGCAAAAGTTTTTAAACATCATTATTGAAATATAATGGATGTAGTTAAGTATTAATCTAACACACACACACAAAAAAAAAAAACCTTTAAACCATTGAAACTCATAACCACCGAAACCACCACGAAACCCAGAACCACCACCACCACCCAGAAGAGCCACGAAATCCAGAACCATCACCGCCCATAACCACCACGAAACCCAGAACTATACCACCCATAACCACCACGAATGGAACCACCACGAAACTCAATCAAGCCGAAACCACCACGAATTGAACCACCACGAAACCCAATTAAATCAAAACCACCCACGCCACCCCCACGAAACGAAACCCACAAATACCCATGAAACCAGACCCACCCACCACGAAGACCCACCCACCACGAAACTCACGCCACCCCACGAACCATATCTAAAACCCCTAAAACCACCCCCACGAACAAGACAAACCCAATTCCACGAACCCAAACCCACGAACCGGACGAACCCAAACCCAAATCGCAAGAGGATATAGAAGGGGGAAGATAAACCAAAATGTAGAGTTAGGGTTCTGGAGATTTCAATTGAATAAGGGTTTGGGAGATGAATGATTTTGTTGAAGGTGAATGATTTTTGGTGAAAATGATTATAATAATCAGATTCATTAGGTAAAGAGTGAAATCAGGTTAGTGATTTAATTAGATGTCTAAGTTGTTTAAGTACGGGTAATATGGTCATTTTGTTGACAAAAAGTTACTAAAAGTGGAAAGAAAAAATTTGTTGCACATAATAGGTAGCTTCCCAAAATGGCAAATGTTGCAAATAACCGTTAACGGAGGTAGTACTTTGATTTTTTTTCGACAAGCGGAACGATTGTATTGAATCGGTGTAACCTCTCCCAAGTCTTAAACATCCGCACCTTCAAAAAGCCCTTTGGTGGGATCTGATCTCGTGACTTTTAAGTCATGTAGTCAAACCTTGCTTAGGGTTTTTTTTTTTTTTTTTTTTTTTTTTTTTTTTTTTTTGACGGAAACTTTGCTTAGTTAAGTATCCTTACAATTAATGTTTACAATTTGATAATCTCATTGCAAATACATATTGATTAATCATTATTGCAAAAATACATTTAAGAAAGAGCTAAACAATTTGGTAATCTGAATATATAAAATGAGTTTTGAAAGATATTAATTAGGTTGTAATGTAAGAATATAATCATTGTGTTTACGTGAATCACATCTATTGATATAAAGCGGATAACTAAGAAGGTAGATAAAAAAAATACTACACCTACAAGTACTAATTGAGCTTTCTCAAGGATATGTGAGGTATAGGGGTAGAAAACACTTAGACTTACGAAGTGCGGATAATGATACAAACCTTTTTTTTCTGGGTGTTTAAAGAGCCACAACGATGGGGTGAGAGTCGATCCTAAAATATCTTGAAATCAGGCAGAAAAGTAACAAATTACTTTAGCAAGATGGTTCAAATTTTCACTTAGGCAATAGTAGTACAACTGTACATTTGTACAATATTGGAGTATTGGACTAGGAAAATAAAACACAATATTGACCCTTTTGCAATCTTTACAAAAACACCCCTATATCAAACATCAAGTTATGAAATTATCCAATCACTCATTTCCCAAACAATGGCATATTTGTAATTGTAACGTCTTATTTGGGGCAAAAGCCTTGACTGTACCATCTCAGCGCCAAAATCACCCACTACATATATCAACCCTTTCTCGTCCCTGTAATCAGTTCAGCACAACAAATTCAAACCTCCATTTTCTCTCTCATCAATGGCTTCCATTGAATCAGATAACAACAACCTCATTCCAGAAGAAATCACCGAAATTCCACCTCCACCAGAGAAACCACATTCTCCTTCTCTTCAACGTCATGTGGCCTTCAGCGTCGTCAACGAAAATGAAGAAATCGACAACAACAACAGCAGCTCCGCCGTAACAACCACCGAAGAAAGTGCTTCTTCGTCGGAGAATCCAGACACCGGAGGTTCGGAGCAGAGTTCGATTACTGTTGACAGTGTTTGTCTCGAAGCAACACTGCGCCCAGTTTCCGTCAGGTCTTCAACTTCGGCTGCAAACCTCGAGAGCTTGTGCGAGCAGACCGGAAGCGCCGGAAAATGCAACGGAAATACGCCGAAATCAGGAGGTGCGGTGAAATCCAACGGTGCTAATGGATATTTTCAGCATCCTATTCCTATAGCAGAGCATCCAATGGTGAAGGAGGCTTGGAGCTTGTTAGAGAAATCTTATGTTTACTACAAAGGAATATCTGTTGGAACTGTTGCTGCTTCCGATCCTAGTGCTGAGGCGCTGAACTATAATCAGGTATATTTTCTCTCATGACGTCTTTTCGTCTTTGCCGGCGATAATTTTTACTGTGATTTCTTAAGATTCTAGTTTTATTTGGATTTTAATCTATGCGAAAATGATCTGAAGATTTATTAGCAATTATCATTACACTTCTTATTTTCTAGCTTTTGGTCCTTTGATATTGTTTCTTAACATTTATTTTCCAGATTTAGTTGGTCATCGTTTGGAGTAGAATACTTTAGTGGTGTTGTTTTTAATCTACATTTTCATGTATTTGTTCAATATTTGGAATACGTACTGCATAATTTAAATTTATGGCGTAGATTAATGCGAGATCGTCTCTGTTTTTCAAAAAAAATTACAAATATTTTTGTTTTACGGAGTAGCGAGCATTTATACCGTATCTGCTTAGCTTTACTGGAATTTTTGTTGATTATTTTGTGGTCATAGCAATTATTTTGTAGAAGTGTTTGACATTTATGAATTTAAAACTCTCGAGTTTGCGAGGATAAATTTGTTTTCCGTATTTGTTCTGGAGCTTACGCAGCAGATTTCTCTGGATTTATTAGTTGTCATTTTGATTTAAATCATTTTACTATCCACAAATTGAAATATAAAGCATAGCAGGTAATAGGTAATGATTTCTGTTGTGCTAGGTCATTGAAAAATCATGTTATTTGTTGCTGGTTGCACAACCAAATTTCCATGTCTAGATGCAATTGACGTGTATTTCTGTTTAAAATGGTGAATAGGACGCATAAAATGTACTAAATCTTGAGCAATGGCCAATGTGATATGCTACTATTTGCACACAATTAGTGTTGTGCACTGGGGTGTACGCAAGAGCCCTAGCCCCTAAAGTATAAGATATTAAAGCTGGTAGATAGACGTGGTTTATTTGGCAAGTAACTTAGTAAGAAGTAACAGTTGTTACCCTGATAGATAGTATACATCTTCTTAAAGACTTTAGATTATTGCTGCTAAATTATTCATGTTATGCTGGCCTTTTATATTGCATTGCACAGTGTTGCCTGAATCATTCATGTTTCACTGGCTTGAATTTGTCATTCATGCTTTGTAAACCACAAGTGAAAAGTTATATGTTGGTCGAAACTTGAAGAACTATCAGATACAACTTTTCGTGCAAGGTCTTCAACTCTTCCTACATGATTATTGGACTTGGAATACCAAGGTTTTGTGTGTGTGTGAGAGAGAGAGAGAAAAAAATACTAGTTAAATTTGAATCTCAATGGAATGCACATGACAAGATTGCAAACAGGTTGTTACGTGTTTAATCACCTTTAATGCATGAATGCTCTAGGCTGTGTATGAACTATCTATACACTTTCTTTGAATTATGCTTGTAATAGAACTGTATTATATAACCAGTAGCTCATGGAGTTGGACATTTGAATATTTTATTTTGATGCAGAGTTGATATAAAAAAGGGAAAAGGTTATGAAATTTGGATTGATCAAGCCATCAGAATTTTAATTTGAGTGACCAATTTCTTGTCACTGAGATTAGTCAACTTCTGATCCTTACTTTTCCAATTATTGAATGTTGAATTAGATGATAGTTGGGGAAGCAGGGAATCCGGACTTAATTTTATCATAGCTCAACTTAGCAAATATAATGGGCAGGTAGCTTGTAGGTAAAATTCTCCCCTGATTTGGTGATATATACAGGTCTTCTCAAAAACCTTTAATTCTGCAATAGGATGCAGAACTAGGCATATCGATGTTGCACCATCCATGTTTGCCTTTGTCATTCATGTACATAATTGGCTCAGTCAGTGGTTCTGAAGTGATTTGTCAAGTAGCTCTATTTGATTATCAAGTTTTGAATAATCATACAACCATACGAGCTCCAATTGTCTGAGGTGAACTTATTAATAAGATACTTGTCTGCACTTAAGAAATTCATAATTGGGGTTTCAGATGTAGGTAGTTAGGTAAGTCCATAGCTGGTAAGTGGTAACCACAAAGATCAGCTAATTAGGTAAATCCGTATATGTTTGTGCCTCTCTAAAATTGTTCACAGCTAAAGTACTAATTCACAAATGTCATTTTATTTATGTAATGCATTTGTCTTTGATATTCTTGAAATGAACCATGAAGATTTGCACGTACTGATTTACTTTTTCCAATGTATAGGTTTTTGTGAGGGACTTCGTTCCTAGTGCTCTAGCTTGTCTAATGAAAGATCCCCCTGACACAGAAATTGTGAAGAACTTCTTGCTGAAAACTCTCCATCTTCAAAGTCGTGAAAAGAGGATTGATAACTTCACTCTTGGAGAAGGTGTAATGCCAGCAAGCTTCAAGGTTGTGATAGACGAGAAAAATGAGCGTGTGAAGGAAATTCTGGAAGCGGATTATGGTGGCACTGCAATTGGAAGAGTTGCACCTATGGATTCTGGGTTCTGGTGGATTATCTTGCTGAGGTCATATGTCAAAAGCACAAGTGACCGCTCACTGGCAGATCAGCCTGATGTGCAGAAAGGCATGAAATTGATCCTTGACCTGTGCCTCTCTGATGGTTTTGACACTTTCCCATCGCTACTCTGTGCAGATGCATGCTGTATGATTGACAGAAGGATGGTTAGTTTCTTGTTTACCCTTTCCCTTTTCTGGTATTGAATAATGTTTCACTTGGTTTATGTATAACCAGTGTAAAAAAGTAGCATTTTGAAATTACAGAAGCCTATGCTTTTTCTATTTTGGATTAAATCACTTCTACCTAAAATTTTTAGAAACTCCTCTGATAATGTCTTAAACCTATAAGTGAACAGATTTGGTAATTATTTGAAAGGAAACGTAATTGCTGTGTGACTGCTGTTAAAATTGTTTGTAACATGCCTGCCTGGAGTGCCTGCTTCCATTTTCTTACTAACTTTATCCATCATCATCAATTGGGCAGGGAATATATGGGTATCCAATTGAGATTCAGGCTCTTTTCTTTTTTGCACTGAGATGTGCCAAAAACATGTTGAAAGAAGTGCCTGACAACAAAGAATTGCTGGACAAGATCAACTCCAAGATCAAGGCACTTAGTTACCATATTCGGACATATTACTGGCTTGATTATACCCAGTTGAATAACATATACCGCTATAAAACAGAAGAATACTCTCACACTGCTTTAAACAAGTTCAATGTATCCCCGGAGTCAATTCCTGATTGGCTATTCGAGTTCATGCCCTTACGAGGTGGTTATTTCATTGGCAATGTCAGCCCAGCTCGCATGGATTTCAGGTGGTTCTTACTTGGTAACTGCATTGCTATCTTAAGCAGTCTTGCGACACCAAAGCAAGCATCAGCTATAATGGACTTAATTGAGGCTCGTTGGGATGAGTTAGTTGGAGAGATGCCCTTGAAAATCTCTTATCCGGCGCTAGAAGGTAATGACTGGAACATTATCACAGGGTTTGATTCCAAGAATACTCGGTGGAGTTACCATAATGGTGGATCTTGGCCAGGTGAGTTTCCTGATACAAATTTTACTGACTTCAAACTTAGTGCTCCAAGATTTTTCGACTGTGTGTATTTGTGGCTTTGTTTAACACTATATAAGCTTTAGAATTTGAATTTATATTCAAGTTACAAGACAAGAATTTAACATTATATTTATGAATTATGATTGATAATCTCTGACATGTTGACAATATGACTGTCGGTCTGTGTTTCAGGCAGTGATTCTGTACGGAGTTGTAAACATACAACTTTCTTTTTTTTTCCTCTAGGACTAGGATGCATTTCTCATGCTATTGCAAAACATTAGAAGCTTATGCATTATTATTAATTACATTCGTAAATAATGCAGTTCTGCTGTGGTTGCTGGTATCTGCATGCATCAAGACTGCGAGGCCGCAGATGGCCAGAAATGCCATTGAGCTGGTGGAGAAACGCCTTTCCAATGATGGCTGGCCAGAGTACTATGATGGGAAGACAGGTCGCTATATTGGTAAGCAAGCAAGAAAGTTCCAGACATGGAGTATTTCTGGCTACTTGGTCGCCAAGAAGATGCTTGAAAATCCAGCCAATCTTCTGCTGGTCTCACTTGAGGAAGACAAGACAATTGCCAAGCCCAAGCTCATTCGCTCTGCCTCGTGGAGTAACTAGCCAGTCGTCTTCTTCCCGCTTCTTTGGATCTCTTTTAGCAAACAACAGTGGTGCTAAGTATAGGAAATGCTATTAAGGCTGTAAATAAGAGAGGTGAAAGGTAAAAACTGTTATGTGCATATTTTGACAGGAATTTTACATCTTAATACTGTCTATATTTTGTTGCATCTATCAGAACATTGATAGGGTGTTTGCATTGGCAGCTACCTAGCTAATATGATGATTACTGATGGGAAAATCCCAGTTAATCTTCATGATTGCTGAATTTTGTTAATCTAGGGGCTTTTATGGTATTTCAACCTATTATTATGAGGATGCAATGGTAACTTCCGTGTGTTGACTTGGCCAACTATAATGACTAAGCATCCACGTAATATTACTGATTGCTGTTTGGGGTTAACGCCATATGACAGCCGTTTGTTAACGTCAAGTCTTCACTGTGAAACACTTGACTCTCTCTATCTCCTTTGTATTTTCTCTCTCCTTTGTATTTGGTCAATCATGTATTTGTTATCACAGGAAACTAGTGAAATTCACCTCCAACTCCAAATCAAGAAATGTTAGAGCACCGACTACCGACTATGTTTTTGCAAATTATTGGAACACACGATTACAATGGGACTATACCAATTGGTTAATAGGAGGTGTACAATTATTGAAGACAACTAAGGGGAAGTCAACGTGGATTAAGTCATATTAAGTTGCAAAAGTTATATCCTCAGTTTTAACAATGAATATGGAATAATGCAGTTTCATCTCTGATTTGAACTGTAAATATTGAAATTGTTGAAAGTTTTTTAAATTTTATTTTTTTTTGGATTTGCATGCGGCTTGATTGGGTATTTTGTAAGGAGCTCATAAATTTATTTGACCACTATAATATACAATAAGATAATCACCCGATTCAGCATATCGAACTGGCTTGATTGATTATTTGTAAGGAGTTTTTTTTTTTTTTTTTTGTCTTGTTTTTATGGGTTGCTCTAAGAATGGTGGATTTGTTTTTGTGGGGTGGATCCGTGGGGATGATTGATTATTTTGGGATTTTGTTCTTTATTTTTTGACTGGTTAAAATAGGTGTGGTAAAATTAATTTTGTTTTCAGTTATAGTGTTATACAGTACTATTAATGAAATTTGTATGTATATGTGTTCTCAAAAAAAAAATTAAAAAAAATTGTATGTATATTGCCGTGTTCAAGCAAAGAAGAATGAGGTCAGTTTTTCTCTTAAATTTCGCCTAATTTTCTTCACTCAATCTATCCGATGCATTTCCTTTTTTTATTAATAACTTGCTTTTCTTATTAGTTTGTTTTTAATTATGTATTCTTTTCAATTTTTTTACATTGTGTAGTTTTTATGATTAATTCTTTGATTTTTATAATACCAGATTTGATTCAAGGACATCTCAAATGAAGAGACCAAATATGGAGCACTCAAGTCATACTGATTGTAATTATAATTGTAAATATGCAATAAGTGTATACATTTATTGTTGGAATTTCAAAGAGTTGATTTTGTTGATATACTCGTATTAGTTATTTTTACTTTTTTTAGTCTATAATTACCATTTTTGGAATGAAGCGTATAAATTCAAATTTCAAAATTAAAATAAGAACAACATGATAATATTAAAGTAAATTTTTAAACAAAAAACAATAAGGATAGGACACCCGTTCACCTCTTGTAAGACATAAGAGGTTTGTTAAATACAACTAAACAGATTCTAACATTTCAAAAGGTCCCTTTCCCTTAACAAATACTCCCTTCGTTTTCTTAATACTTGCTCTATTTCTCCATGCGCGGAGTTTTAGGAGAAATTGGATAAAGGCTCTGTTTGGTAAACAACTTATTTGAGCAAAATTAACTTATTTGACCAACATTAACTTACTGAGTATTAAATAAGCTAATTTAACGCGTTTGATGGGAAGCTTATTTAAAGAGGTTATTCCAATAAATAAGCACTTTTTGAAAAAGCTCCTATGAGCCTTTTCAATTAACTTATTCATTAGCACTAGACACACCTAGCCAAGTTCGAAGTTCTCTTCGCCCTAGACGTAAAAGATTTGATATTTCTGAGAGTATGGTTTTGGGGAGACACAAATGGGTGTCTACAGTGAGATAAGTATATTAGTGTAGGGAATATTTCAAGCATTACCCCTAGCTTGAACCCCATTATGATCATACACTAAAGTACGGTGGCGTTCAAAGGGAAAGAAGATATAGCAAAAGAGTCGCCAACAAGTTTTAGGAACTTGTAAACCGTTCACGAGCTGAAGGTTACACCCCTAACATGATACTAAGAATCATAATAACAACCTAAACATGATTTCTAAGAATCATAATAACAATAAATCAATTAAAGCACTTACTTGGATGCCTCGTATCTCTTTCTAATAACAAAATACACACGTTAGTAACTTCAAGGAGAATAATAATCAAAGAATTAAATTAAATAATAATTGAAAGAGAGATTTGGGACCAAACCCTCAGAAATTAAACCTTTCACGTCTAGGACGAAAACAACTTCGAACTTGGCTAGGTGCTTCTAGGTCTTGTGAATGTGGAATTTTGTAGAGAAAGCTAGAGAGAGAAGAGAATTCTTAAAAGCTAGAGAGAATAAGAAAACTAGAGAATATCTGATATTTTGATGGTAGTTGATAGTTGAAAACGGAGGTTTTAGGAGGCTATTTATAGAGAAAATCAGCCAAACGGATAGAAAAACAAATCAGAGTTTCGACGAGAATAAAAACAGGTTAGCGCCAGACGTTAATCCCTGTCGTCAGGCGTAACAATTATTTTCACGTTTTTTTCTTAATTTCGATAAAATTTAACCGTACAGATTTCCTCAAAAACACTCTTTTATTCTGATTAAAACTCCAAAAAGTCAACCAAAGTCAATTTATCAATGCTAATTGAATTAGGAATGAAAAGAACCTTCTAGAAGAATCTAGAAGACTAAAATCAATTCTAATTGCTTTAGGAATGATAAATCAATATTAAGCCCTCCTCTAGATCATTGAGCCGCATATAAAGATCAAACTGGGCCTAGTTCAGTATTTTGGCCATAACTTCCTCATTATTCATCGGAATTGGGCTTATAATATATCGTTGGAAAGCTCTTTTCAAGCCCCATCCAACTACACTATTATTGGACCCTTATAATGGACCAAACTAAACTGGAATGCACGTTTTTCATAAATAAGGTAAGAAAAGAATTGTTTTCAAAAACAGAAAGAAGAGATATTTTAATAAAAACATCTTCATCACTAGACTTTTCACACTTTCGCTTTGTTCGATAATCAAATGACGTGAAAGGTACTTATCACCGGGTTTGGTTTTGGGGAGACGCAAATGGGTGTCTACAATTAGTATAATTTATGTGATTTTGCTATTGTTGAACATTGATTTCAATTTTTAATTGCTTTTCTTTCATCGTTTTTCAGTACATTTTTACTTGTAAATTGTGGAATGAAGAAGACTAGTAATCTAGCTTCAATAAATGATGGAGATCTATTGTGTATTAAGTTTTGTGAAAAAAAAGGGTCACTTTTGAAAAAAAAAAAAAAAAAAGGTTACTTTTGTAGAAATATGAGTCACTTTAAAAAAAAACATTTTTATAAAAATATGGGTCACTTTTGTGAAAAAAAAGAGTCGCTTTTTGTAAAAAAAAAGGTCACTTTTATAAATAAATAATAAAAAAGGGTTACTTTTATGAATATATTACTGTTCACACGCGCAAGATGTTCGATGTAAAATAAAATTAGGAGTTGAAATGAGATGAAGTGAATTGAACTGATAGGAGCTGAAGTGAACAGAACTGAATAGAGCTGAAATGAATATTTTATTAGAGACAAAAATTAGGATCTAAACTGAACTGAACTGAACTGATTGGCACTGAACTAAATTGAAATTAAGCTAAAGTGATCAGGCCCTAAATGTTGTAGTGGTATAAATAATTATATATAGTGCTAATATTACAAATAAGTATATAAATGGTATATCAAAATATTATGCCATTGTGAGATATAATAGTACTACTGTACTAAAGTACTAAGACATAATGGTACATATACATGCATAATAGTACAAAAAATGTACCACTGACCATGGTAACCATTAAAAGTACCATTTTGGATGTCAAAACTCAGTGCTTTTCCACTTTTGCCCTCATATATGCATTTTTGCACATAGGGACTATGCGGAACTCCTCTTATAATGTACTCCCTCCGTACCTTTAATTTTGCTCACAGTCAAATGGGGAAAAAATATAGGGACAGAGGGAGTAATAATATATCTTTACCCACTAATATCTCCACTCATATTTAATTTATCATTTCTTACTTTTCCAATGGTCCACGTATTATTGAATTGCCACTTTACTTCTCAATAAAAGAATAACTTTATCTACCATACTGAACTGAACTTAACTTAACTGAACTAAAGTGAAATGAATATTTTATGAGAGAAGGAAATTAGGAGCTGAACTGAACTGAACTGAACTGATTGGAGCTGAACTGAACTGAATTCAACTGATTGGAGCTGAACTTAATTGAACTGAAATTAAGCTGAAGTGAACATGCCCTGAGTTTTTTTTGACAAAAACCTACATTAAATATTATATCAATAGCCTCTCATGGTCTTCACTAAATCCAACTAATAAAATTTAAAGATAAAGATAAATAAATATAATATGGCTACTATCTGTCATTCCAAAATCTTATGAAATCGATGTAATTTTTTTTTTTTTTTTTTTTAAATATTTTATATTACATCCGTTTCATATTATGTGCAACATTTACTAAAAATAGTTGTTATCTTATGCATTATGTGCAACAACAACAACTAATTGGTTGATGCTGTAGTGATGATTGGGACTATACTTGGTAGGGAGAATCCGTGTTCGATTTCTTGTAACAACAATTGGGAGGGGATTGGAACTTAATCACCCAAAATTGATCCCCAAATTCGAATTAGCCCAAAGGGTATACTAGATGGAAAAAATAAAAAAATTGTTGAAAGTACAAAAAAATTCATTTCTTTTTCAGTTTTTAAGTTAGTGGTCAGATCATCTACACATTCAATTCATCAAATTTGATATGATTACTTTAATCTAACTTATTTTCAATTCATCAGTTTTTAAGTCAGTGTTGCCCATGGTTTAGCTAGTTTGAGTAGTACTTTTAGTGATTTTCGGGTTTGGTTAGAGGAGTATCCCCGGAAATTCACGGGGCGATTTGTAATGATCTTGAACTTTTGATGAGTTAATAAATGGCTAAGCTTTGTTTTTGTGACCAAAAAAAAAAAAAACCTTATTTTCAATTCATCGATTGTAAATTTTTATTCTTTAAAACTCATGACCCACATACTCTTATCAATCATTTAATCCATTTTTCTTAAATACGGTAAAAATGGGTATGTTACATATATTATAAAAAATACAAGTATATAGTTAATACTTAATTTCAAAAAAATAAAAAAGTACAAGTATATATTTTGAATAGTAAATTTATTTTTTAATAATAAAGCATAAACCATTTACATAAGATATATTGATTTAATGAACAAACAATATTCAAATACGAGTATAATATTTTATACGAGTATAATCAAATTCAAATAAATAGAAATTATTGCAATAATTTTTTTTTTTTTTTTTTTTGACAATATATATTATTGTCAGGAATGGAGCAAGAAGACTATTATTACATCACTTGGAAAACAGCAAAGTAGTAAACCATTACCTACCAACATTAAATGCAACCATGAATTCATCTTCCACCGTCAATCAAGAACAGGCCCTATAAGTAACAGACTAACAGCAGCGAGCGTCGTTTACAAATAATATGCTAATGTGTATCGTTCTACTTCTGACTCGGCTGCTGAGTCGACATCCACATACTCCAACTTCTGACATGGCATAAAAGATTGACAAAGTTTGTTAATGATGAAGATTAACTGGGCAGCCCCCATTACTGATATGCTCATAGCTCATTTGTTGCTCTTTTAACCCCGGTTTATGTCAGATTGTCTGAAAATTGGACAGTGAAATGCTCGACATCAGTTGCAGGACTTGCAGCTCTAGTTTATAATGGGCTGTCTTATCCTTTTATGTCAGATTTGGGAGAATCAGCAGTTTTATGCAAGTCTCGCAGCTTATAGATGTTGGCATATTACTTGAGTTTTCTTCATTGTTTCCTTTCGTGGGCGTGAGTAAATTTAGGGAATGAAGATTCATAAAAATTAATTAAGAGTAAGCTTGGTTTACGCTATAAAGTGGTTCAATTTTCATGAATGCGCATTTTCGAGGGTAGTATGATACCACTACACTAGATGCGCTGCTGACAAATAAAATTCTGAAATATTAAAATAAATATAATTATGTATTTATTTTTGAACTTTTTTTTTGCAAGGAAAACGGCCTTATTGTGCTGGAATCTCTTGTAGATCCTTCTAGCTCGGGTTAGTAGGTTAGGCACTTTTGAAGTGAGGGGGGAGGAGTAGGGATGTCAATGGGGCGGGACGGGGCGGATGTTGGCCTTCCCATCCCCATCTCCACCTAATATTTTCATCCCCATCCCCGCCCCACCGGGTACAACTCCAAAACCATCCCCGCCCCACCCCCACTTGAATATCCATCCCTACCTAATCCCCACCAAAGACCCGCCTAATCTCCACCCAAGATCCACCTAATATCCGTATCTCAAATACACAATCTTACATAATTAATATG